AAAAAGGAATAATTAAGAAACAAAAGAAAAAAAAAGAAATAATAAGAATAATTAAATTAAATTAAAATAATATAAAATAAAATACAAGAAAAGAAAAGAAAAGATAAGAAAAGGAAAAAAAAATATTAATTAATTAATTAATTAATTAACGCAAGAGAAGAAACAAAAATCCGAAACGTAGTTGTATAAGTAACGTGTAGATATATCATAGTTAGATACAACGATCTCAAATGGACACGTTTAATTGTGGATTGTCGTAAAATAAAAAATAAATTTAAAAAAAAATAATGATAATTAAATAATTAAATTAATAATTATAAAAAATAAGATCGAAAAGAATAATAAAAGCGAATAGAATTAACTAAGAAAATATGAAGGAAGCCTCGCGGTTATCATGGATGTAAGAACACAAAATAAGTAAAGAAGAAGAAAATGAAGAAGAAAAATTAATAAGGAAAGACAAAGAACGGAAGTGTGTGCATATTGTAGGTGTGTGAGGGTGAGAGTGAGAGAAAGAAAGAAAGTTAGAAAGAAAATGAAACGAATAATGTGTTAAGGGCGAATAAAAAATGTCGTCGTCTTAAATAACGATTGTTATAAAAGAAAAAAGAAAAAAAAAGAAAAAGAAGAAAAATATGGTTGAATCGTGAATTTGTGTTAAACGTTCGAGAGACACCACCACTTGCCCATTTTTTCTATTATTATACACGTTCATTGGTTGAACGAAAGAAGTTTAAAAGCTTCATTTTTTTGTACGTTTTTACGTTTTTCCTTATATATACTACATATATATATATTTTCGCTATAGTCACGTAGTGTTTGCTCGACGTTAAAACACACCAATTATATGTAATTTACGTTTAAATTTAACGATTATTCGCGTCTGTAATAATCTCGTAAATGGTTTGTTAAAAAAAAAAAAAAACCTAAACGAGATATTAGTTAGTTTTTAAAACAAACATTCTAAGTATCGTCGACGGTCTCGTGTGCTAGTTGTTAAGTTTTTCGATTTTTGAGTATGAGCGTAACCTGACAGCCATGAAGCAAATGCAAACAATTTTATTTTCTATTTCTTTTTTTTCTCAATTGGTTAAATCAAAGATTTTATTAGAAACGATTGCTATACTTGTTCTCTTTGTAGATGTTCATCGGAATTGAATAATACGTGAAATTAAATGATCATAAAAATATTTTCAAATTCGTATTCAAATTCGAATTTTTTGAATATTTAGGAAAAACAAAAGAGAGAAAAATAAATAAATAAATAAATAAATGAAAAAAGAACCAACCAATGGCTAAATGGCTCTCGGGTATCGACTGCGATTTTTGTTTTCGATCTCGCGACGATTCAAATGCATCGAATCTCGAATATTTTTATTCTCGACTGGATACAACGAAGTATCGATGATCGAGAGTACCGATCGTTGCGGAATTGAAATAAAAAAAAAACAAAAACAAAGAAAAAGAATATGATAAAGAACAAAAAAAGAAAAGAAGACGAAGAAAACATAAACAGGGGAGTTAAAAAAAAAAGTTGCGAGGTAAAACAAAACGATTAAAAAAGTTAAAAAAGAAGATGATACATATAACAAAAGTAAAAAAACAAAAAAAGAAGAAGAAAGGATTATAAAATTAAACAAAAAAATATAAATAAATAAAAAAAGCGAGAAAAAAAATGCAGACGTAAATGATAAGAAACAAATATCAAGATTGAACGAAAAAAAAAAAAAAAACGTGAGCACGCACCATTCGCGCGTTAACAATCGTATACATTACACGTACACGCAAAGAGACAGGTAGACATACTAACACACAGACAGACATAAACAAACACACCGGCGAACGAATCGTTATAGCGTTTTTTAGTAATTAATCGCACCTAAATAATTCGTAAGAGAATCCGTCGACTCTCTTTTTCCACAGTACAAGAAACACTGGTATAAGAGTTTTCATTTTAGTCGCAAAACAAACTAAAAAACTTTATGGATAATCGCATATATATATAT